ATCGCGGATTGGAGACGACGTCGTAGGAAAGCAGGTTGGGCCGCCCCAGTTCATACGGTAAAAACAAGGCTTTTTTTATCACAACCTTAGAACTCCTCAATCACTGTGCTGTCATGACCTTTGGCTTGTGCGATTTCATTCGTTCTGTCGGCCGCCGAATTACTTCGTCGTATTTTCGAATCTGGCGCAGGAATCACGACGTAATCGAAATCATTTCTTCTCGGACGCTTTCTACCAGACCTCACTTCCCGTCCGCGGCTTTTTCTTCTCATGCTAGAAAGCGAGTAGCTATAATCATCACTGAAATAATTGCCATCTCGTAGTATAAAGTGGACTGCAATGATATGATAGCACAATCCAGTGCTAGAGCAGGAGCATCTAGATGGTTTTGGAAGATATTCTACTGCGTGAACATTTTCCCCAAACACGTCACAAACTGTAAAAATGCCTGTTTCTGATGAATGTCCAACAGAACGTTTCTTTATACAGGATCGAGCTAAGCTTTTCTGTGTAATTCTGCTATGCTCAACTTTTACAATTGCTCCAGATGATATGTTTTTTTCTTCCTGTGATATTTTACATGCTTCTTCTGTTGTATATATTTTTGGTAATTTAATTGCACCGCTGGGTTGTTGGAGGTAGATGAACTCATTTTTGAGTTGATATTGTCCGAAGCCTGTTAATGCCCGAAGGAAGTCGTAGTAATACAAGTCTTGTACTTGTTTAAAAGTCGTTACTATGGTATCTAAGGGTAATTCTTTTCGTTCGGTTACAGATTTAATGACGTTATTCATTGATTCACTGATATTATTTGTGACAGCTCCACTAGGAAAAGCAGCAAATAGGAAAAACACTGCTATGTTACACATACACGTCTCACACTTTAAATTTAATTTAATAGTAATGCCCGATTTTATATCGTGTTTTTGTTTTATTGCGTTTTGACTGTTTTTGGTGGAAGGGCACGTACTTGTACGTCTTTAACTTTTTTATTAAGTTATGCCCGTCCTCCAGATCCTCTGTGGCGAATTCTTGTGAAAATTTGAGTTTGCGAGCTCTGATGCAGGAGCTTCGTCGTCGTTAAGCATCTTGTCTGAACCTACCGACCGTGACGCCGCCACTTGGAGGTGCAACATCGCCTTTGTTAGCTTATTATACGGCGAGCGAAGTTGGACATCTAGTAGTAGTATATATTTACGGTACAATGGACGATGTAGCAATGCCGAGCGTATTTTTCACGTGGCTGTCAGAAATTTTGCATGGTGCATCCGTGAAAAACTTGCTCGTAGAAGTAAACACTGTCGATTATTGACGTCATAAAACTGCCTCTTCTAGCTCCACAAAAAAAGGACAGGAAAACAGATTGAAATACATGGCAGACGATAAAAATAAATTCAAACATGTCTCACTAGCCATAACGACCACAAATGGACATAAAAGAAGCTTACGATAGCTAGGTGGTGCTTATCTCGCGTTTGAACGACAATTTTTTATTAGAGGTTTCATTAAAGGCCCAGATTTGTGGAAGACATTGGGGTTTGAATAATACCGCGCGGGCCACATGTGACTGATCTACATGACGCGACTGATGATGCAAAATATTTTTTCCAATACTATTTTAATTTCGCGATTAACCGATTCAATTCATTCGCACTCAGATATCTGAGGGTGAAGCGCTTTGAGAGATCTATCCAACTTTTTATAAGTATAAATAAATTTGGGCTGTAATTCGACAAACAACACTGTTGAATGCATGCGTGTCTTTTGAAAATTAGTAAATGATATGTTATTAAAATCATCATTTGGATAATGAGCTGTAGTTCGATTTGATTTAGGGTAGGGATTTTCATATTCATGCTATGAGAAGAAAGCCGATAAGACGGATTATTCATGTGGTTTACAACGGCTTCTCAGAACTCTTTCCGCGTTTTCCAGTTTCCCGCTATTTTCTCAAAACTCCCACATTTTTGCAAATTTTTGTATAAAAACAAACAATACATATTTTCCTAATTTTTCGCGATTTTATTACTCCCCTCGCCTTTCCCGCATCATATTCCCGCCGTTCTCAATACTTCCGCATTTTATTGTATATTTCCCGATCGCTCTCACTTCAAGTTCAATTTCCTCTACGCATACTGTAAAATGTACATTTGCCATTCCATAGAGCGATTTCCCGTTGCTCCCTGTTTTAGTAAAATTTCCCACATTTTGGTGTTGCCCGATTTATCTTGTTCAATATTTCGTTCATTTACATTTTTGTGGCGACAACAGGATAGTAGCCATAGATCTATTACCTTCTCAACTTTACCTAAGCCTATTTATGGGGTGCACGACGCATGGGACTCTCGCACGCGGAGGATTGCTGGACTCCTCGCCGCAAGTTCACGTACCTCTGGTGCATCCAGCAGCAAGTCCATGCATCTGAAACAAATAACTAGTCAACTCCTCCTGCATCTGACATGAACTGGTAACCAGGCGATAGATCGAGGCTTACCATGTTACTAAGTTGTCTCATCGGCTTTTTTACTCCCGAGATAAATATTGAAATCCTAATTGGAGTGTAAGATAACAAGGTGTTCACCGCGCGCGATACGTTTTGTCGTCTTGTCAACCATTTCTCCACGTGACCGAATTCCAACAGCGCATTCTCTATTTAACAAATTATGACGTCATCATTATTATAACGTTGTTTCGGCAGAGTAGACGACACTGATGGACGTCTTATGGCCGGTTTGCAAAATGTTCGTATATTCGGCCTGTGACCGCTGCAATAAGTTGATATGATTATGGTCAGATTATTGCTAGAAGAAAGGCATTGTCACCTGGAAAGTTGTCAGTTGCCCAACTAACTTCTTGACTCCACTGTCTCGACATTTTCATTAGCGGTTGATGGATACTTGCCAATATTTCGAATGCATTCATCTGAGAATACCCATGGCCTTGTCGTCTACGTTCGCAAGTGGCGACTTATTCGCACAGCCACTAATCGTTGGCCATTATCCAACAAAACGTCATTTAAGGGTTGCGCGTAGAATTATACTCAACCCTGAATGGGCGCGCAGGGAAAAGATTAAGTATCGTGTCCGCCGATATCTACCTTGGGAGTGTATGCTTCACTTGTACAAAGCCCTGATACGACCATGCATGTTATTCCTATCACTAATAGGTCCATGCATTGTTACATCGAGAATCGCATTCACTTGTTTTTTGTATTGACTTAAACATTGCGTCTGTTTAACTTGTGTAGTAATTTATTTGTTATTGTTGACGCCGTAATTTCCCTTGATTGACAGTGTGCTTCCACACACTTTGTTACGAAACAATTGAGAGAGTCTTCGTGGCAATTGCTTGCCCAGACATGTCTCGCTTAGACATGGATAGTTTCGGTAATTTGCTTTAGATAGCGCTTTACTTTTGCAGAGAATGGCGCTCGTTTCGTTGTAATTTGTAAATACGTTAAACTTGTTCAGCGACCTTGGCTTTCTGTTTTGACTGTAGGGCGATTAAATAATGTAGATTATGGCTGCCCAAATAGGCCTAATTTAGGGATATTTTATGAGCATTAAATGGCCTTTTGTGATTGATTTTACAGTTATAGTTTATTTAATTGATTTGTTCGGATTTCATTGACGAATGATTTCATGTTCAACTTGTGATAATTTAAGCCTGGAATAGCAGACAAATTCGGTATGTTATAATTTGTAACTCTCTCTGATTTGAAGACTGCAAGTTATTCAATAGTAATTTGGTTCGACTTAATAATTAACTATGTTTGATAATTGTGTTCATAAATTTGAGTAGGCTTTCTAAAGGCCGAATTGTGTATGATTATTTATTTATTGCAAGTATTTTGTATTGATTTGTTTTTACGTTTGTATTAAGATAACCGAGTCAACTGTATACTTCGAGTTGTGTGATTTCTGGATTGAGGATACAAACTTGGGGCTTGAAAGACCGCGTTATTGAACTGTTAATAAATATCTAGTGTGCAGTCGGTGTCGTTCAGGTCACAAAGAACGGCTGTTACATTAAAGTTATCGAATTTCCGCAAATAAAGTTATCGAATTTTCGCAAATAAAGTTTGATATTGCATAAATAAAGTATCGTCGAATGCCGGCAGGAGTTCGGTAAATCGTCAAAATTGAAGAAATCATCCTAGTGTTGAACATTTAAACTTTTGTGTTGCATGTTTGATGAGCACTGTAATTGTACATTATGGATGCGCAATCTGTTTCGAAATCAAATTTAGAAGAGTTACGTGCTCGTATGAAGGAATTATATCAAGATGCTGAGGGACTTATGTCAGACTACAAAAATCGAGATTTGTTGAAATTGAAAAGTGCTGACATTGACAAACGGTTCACCGAGTATTCAAATGCTCATAAAATTCATGCGAGTACTTTACGTTCTGAAGAAGATCGAAGAAATGTCAGTGAATTTTTCCAGTGTGAACTGCGCGAGTTTCAAGAATTTAATGTGCACTTACGTGATTGGTTCAAAAAGAGTGACGCTGATGGTCATAAATTATCGACACATAGCCCTAAAGCACGTTCTATAATTTCTGGGAAAAGTTCCCGTCGTTCATGTGCCAGTTCAAGTTCGAGTACTAAACGTACAGAAGCCATTGCCATTAGAGAACTTGCTCATGCCAATATTTGGCAGCAAGTAGAAAAGATGCGCAAAAAAGCGAGAACATGATGCTAAAATGCAGCGGATAAAATGAAATTAGATGCTCAACTTGAAGCTGAAAGACTAGAGCAAGAAGCGCAAAGACTTAAACATGAAGCTATGGAAAATGCTAGAAAGCAAGAGCAGGAAGCCCGAATGAAGGCTGAAAAGCTCAACGTGACGCTGAAATAAGAGCCAGAGAAATCGAAGAGGATGCTCAAAGTGGAACAAAGCGTTTGGAATTGAGGCATGCATATGAATCAGCCTGTATAGCTGCCGATGTATGGGAAAATGCTTCGCAGGGAGGTGAAGGTATGTCATTATATGAAAATATGTCTCGTTCACATTCACCTAATCAAATCCAAGAGTCGAATGAAATAGTGGTTCCAGTATTAAAGCCTCCTGATGTGAGACCTAAATTGCCAGCATCAGATTTGTTATCTCAATCTCGAGTCAGAGTGGACAATCATGTATTGAATGTTAGAAGACCTGTTTCTACTGTTAATATGAGAGATGCCGTGAATGTGAATATTTCTGATCAGTATGAATCATTGAACCGACCTCCGTACACAGAAGCACATATCCCGCAACAAAGAAGCACGCATGATCAATCGTCACCGAATGTGGAAAGTTTATTGGGCAATATGGCATCTATGTTGCAAGACGGAATTGATAGACCTCGACCTGAATTATTGCATTTTAGTGGAATAGAGACTGAATATGTCCGGTTTATCACTAACTTCAACTTAAATATTGATAGAAGAGTACATGATACAAGTACAAAGTTGTCATATTTGGTACAATACTGCGAAGGTGATGCGAGGGAACTGATTATGCACTGTACAATGTTGCCACCCGAGGAAGGTTATAAAGAAGCATGCGATTTGCTCAGAAAGACATACGGTCGACCAATGCTTGTGGCTAGAAAATATTCGGAAAAGTTGACTAAAGGACCATGGTTGAAACCTGGAGATAACGAAGGTTTGTTACGTCTTTCTCAAACATTAGAAGAATGTTTAGTCACTTTGACTCATTTGAAATATTTTGGGGATTTGGATAATTTTGATACTATTTTTTCCATCGTATTACGACTTCCTCTCAAGTTGCAGAACAACTGGGAAGAATCAGTGGCAGAATTAGATGGACAAGATAGAGAAGTGAGATTTAAAGATCTTGTTCGATTTATGAAGAAAAAGGCTGCGGCTGCAAATACGCCTTATGGAAAAGCCTTGAGAGCTCGAAGAGAGCAAGAACAGCAATATCGTTTACGATTTCAATCATCGAATAGGCGAAAGATTCACGCTCATTCAACTGCTGTGAATTCAGCTGTTGACAGCAGTGTTACCAGTGCAAAACATATTGAAAAGGGAAGAGATGTCTGTCCTGACTGTTTAAAGACGTCACACAAACTTGTTGACTGTTACAAATTCCTGCAGAAGTCACACGGTGACCGCTTGAAGATTGTTAGAAAGGCAAGATTGTGCGATAATTGTTTTGTATATGGTCATATGTCGAGAAATTGTCGTAAACCACCTGCTTGTACTGTTGACGGGTGTAGGTTGAAACATAATACTTTATTGCATAGAAGAGAACAAGAGACATGTACCCAGACAGAAAATGCTGCTGGTATAAATGAGCAAAAAATTGAAGCATATGCGACTTCAAAAAGCTCAGCAGGATGTTTTTTGAATATTGTCCCTGTCAAGATCTGCGCCAACAGGATAGAAATAGAAACATATGCATTTCTAGATGAAGGTTCTACTGCCTGCTTGTGTGATAAGCGACTTCTTGATCTATTGAAGTTGAGGGGCAAGAAAACGCAGTTTTCGTTGACAACTGTGAATGCGGTACCAACATCACAAGATGGTTATGCGGTTGATTTTACTGTAAAATCACTTGATGGTAGAGAAAGTGTTGATTTATCTCATGTGCTAACTGTTGATAGACTGCCTGTTAAAGCTAATGAAGCACAATTTGATGTACAAAGTTATGCACATTTGAAGGGATTGAAGATTCGTACTCTGCCGTGTAAAGATGTGATGTTGATGATTGGGGTAAATGTCCCTAAAGTGTTTTGGACAATGGATGAGAGACGAGGGAAACACAATGAACCTTCGGCGAAGAAATCCATTTTAGGATGGTCATTGGTTGGACCAGCTTTATCTCAGGAGAGAAACAGTGATGTTCACATTCATTGCGTTCAAGTGCAAGAGGAAGACTTGCTGAGTCAGCAAATCAAATGTTTGTGGGAAAGTGATTTTAAAGACGCTTCTCTGTCGCCTATTCCATCAATGTCTAAGGAAGACAAATACGCATTGCAATTGATGGAAGATTCAGTTGAGATCGTGGACGGACATTAACAGTTACCATTGCCATGGAAGCCAGGATGTCCTGATTTGCCAGACAATCGAAGTGTTGCGATGAAACGCTTAAAGTACATTGAACGAAAATTGAAGAGTGATCCTGTTTTGAAAAAGAAGTACTGTGATACTATGGAGAAATATATTAGTCTTGGATTTGCAAAACGTATCCCGAATGAATATAAAGTTGGCCGTAAAGGTGCAGTTTGGTACTTGCCTCATCACCCTGTGTTTTCTGAACAAAAGCCAGGCAAGGTACGCGTTGTTTTTGACGCTGCATCACGTTGTATGAATACTTCCTTGAATGACCAACTATTGAGAGGCCCGGATTCGGCAAATTCTCTACTTGGAACACTTCTCTGCTTTAGACAACATGAAATAGCTATTGTGGCTGACATCGAAGCAATGTTCCATCAGGTGAGAGTGCACCCAAAGGATTGGAATGTATTGCGATTTATGTGGTGGCCTGGAGGTGATTTGTCACAAGATCCATCAGAATATTTTATGGTCAGGCACATATTTGGTAGCGTCTCATCTCCATTTTGTGCTAATTGGAGTTTGAAAAAGACGGCTCAAGATCACCAAGATGAATTTGACGAAAAAGTTGTCAAAGGAGTTGACGAAATTTTTATGTTGATGATTACCTGAATGGCTCATCTACTGTAGACCAGGGAATTCATATTGTTCGAGAAACGAATAAATTGCTGGAGAAAAAAGGATTTCATCTAGCAAAGTGGAAAAGTTCCAATCCTGAAGTTCTGTCAGGAGATTCCTGCTAAAGACATAGCAGACACTGCGTCAAGTGTAAACTTAATACCTGAAAAGACGGATCGAGTACTCGGAATAAAGTGGAATATCCAAGAAGATTGTTTTGGATTTGATGTTAATGTGAAATCAAAACCCGCAACAAAACGAGGGATTTTGTCTGTACTCAGTTCGATATTTGACCCGATGGGAATAGTGGCACCTGTAATACTAAAGGCAAGGATATTGATGCAGCAGTTATGTCGAAATAATTATGGATGGGACGATGAAATATCGAATAGTGAAAATATATTGTGGAACAGATGGCTCGAAGATATTCCCGGACTTGAGAATATATTCATGCAAAGATGTTTTGCGCCGTCTGGTTTTGGCAATATTGTGACTCGTCAAATACACCATTTTGCAGATGGCTCTGCAGTTGCCTATGGGACTGTATCGTATTTGCGACTAATCAATGAAGATGGGAAGATTCATGTTGCGTTTCTTTTAGGAAAAGCTCGACTTGCACCCATCAAAACTGTTTCAATACCACGGCTGGAGTTGACTGCTGCCGCTCTTGCAGTCAAATTAGATTTATTTCTGAGACGTGAATTAGACTTCGAAGAAAAGGAGTCGATGTTTTGGACAGACTCAACTTCCGTGCTTTTGAGTATTAATAATACATCACGAAGATTTCCAACATTTGTGGCAAATCGACTTGCAAAGATTGAAGAGGGATCGAATGCTTTGCAGTGGAGATATGTACCTACAGATTTGAATCCGGCAGACGATGGCATCCAGAGGGTTGTCGGTACAATCGTTGATGGATGAACGATGGCTGAAGGGACCATCATTTCTCCAAGAGCAAGAGGAACATTGGCCTAAACCGCCAGTACAGTTACCTGAGCTTCCTGATGAATTTGTAAGATGCAAGCCACGAGTTGTTGCGAATTATGTTTCTGATTTTGCTTTGAAGCCAATGGATAAATTCATTTCATATTTCTCAACATGGTATAAATTGAAAAAGGCAAGTGCATGGATGATTCGATTCAAAGACTACCTTCATGAGAAGAAGAAGAATTATAAGTGCAATGAGAAACTTGAAGTTGAAGAATTGCGAGTTGCTGCAGACGACATTTTGAAATACATACAGAGACAAGAATTTGGCGAAGTTATTGATGCATTGCAGAAAGCCAATCATAGAAGTACATCTGGGAAACAAGTACTGAAGAGATTGAAGATTGCAAATTTCCTGCATAAACTCAATCCGATTATGAAAGATGGCTTCATCAGAGTTGGTGGGAGATTGAGAAATGCACCGGTTGATTTCGATGTTAAACATCCGATTATACTTCCACAAAAACATCATGTAACTGAGATGATTATAAGAGAACATCATGTATCTACACATCATTCTGGTATGGGGAGTACATGGACTTCTCTGAGACAACGATTTTGGATCGTTAAAGGAGGCGCTATGGTGAAATCTGTTATCAGAAAATGCATATTTTGTCGAAGAAGAAGTTCACCTGTGAGTAAACAGATTATGGCAGATCTTCCGAAAGAAAGAGTCACACCAGGTGAAAGACCATTTACCTATGTTGGAGTGGACTACTTCGGACATTTTCTTGTAAAGCAAGGACGAAGTACTGTCAAGAGGTGGGGCTGTATATTTACATGCATGACAACTCGTGCCGTACACTTGGAAGTTGCATACTCGATGGATGCAGATTCATTCATAAATGCGTTAAGAAGATTTATTGCACGTAGAAGTAGACCATTCAAGTTCGTCTGTGACAACGGTAGTAACTTCGTTGCAGCAAATAAAATCCTACGTAAAGAAATAGAAGTTTGGAATTCAAGCAAAGTTGGACAATTTTTGCGTCGGGAGAATATTAAATTTCATTTCAATCCACCTACTGCTTCTAATTTTGGAGGATGTTACGAAAGATTAATTCGGTCAGTTCGAAAGATTTTGGTTGCTCTCTTACACGATCAGTTGGTGTCAGATGAAGCTTTGGCTACTATTTTTTGTGAAGTGGAATCACAGTTGAATTCCAGACCCATCACTCCAATAAGTTTCGATCCGAAAGATGATGAGCCACTCACTCCAAATCACTTGCTGTTACTGAATCCTACAAGTAATTTACCTCCTGGCATATTCGACAAAAAGGACTGTTACACTCGACGAAGATGGCGACAAATTCAGTATTTAGCTGATCAGTTTTGGATCAGATGGACCAAAGAATACTTACCCACACTTCAGACACGACAGAAATGGACCTCTAAAGAACGTAATATGGAAGTTGGTGATATTGTGCTACTTGTAGACAATACTATATCCAGGGGGAAGTGGAAGACTGGACGTGTTATGGAAACTACACCTGATAAACTTGGAGCTGTGCGTCAAGTTACTGTGAAGACGTCCAGGGGTGTATTGAGAAGGCCAATTGCAAAGTTGTGCTTGATTCATAGAGTTAATGAGTAAAATGTTTTCAAGTGTGTGATATCCTCGATGTAAGAAATTTGTGAGTAAGATGTTTTCACTGGGTTCCAACATCTGGCTGGGGGAATGTTACATCGAGAATCGCATTCACTTGTTTTTGTATTGACTTAAACATTGCGTCTGTTTAACTTGTGTAGTAATTTATTTGTTATTGTTGACGCCGTAATTTCCCTTGATTGACAGTGTGCTTCCACACACTTTGTTACGAAACAATTGAGAGAGTCTTCGTGGCAATTGCTTGCCCAGACATGTCTCGCTTAGACATGGATAGTTTGGGTAATTTGCTTTAGATAGCGCTTTACTTTTGCAGAGAATGGCGCTCGTTTCGTTGTAATTTGTAAATACGTTAAACTTGTTCAGCGACCTTGGCTTTCTGTTTTGACTGTAGGGCGATTAAATAATGTAGATTATGGCTGCCCAAATAGGCCTAATTTAGGGATATTTTATGAGCATTAAATGGCCTTTTGTGATTGATTTTACAGTTATAGTTTATTTAATTGATTTGTTCGGATTTCATTGACGAATGATTTCATGTTCAACTTGTGATAATTTAAGCCTGGAATAGCAGACAAATTCGGTATGTTATAATTTGTAACTCTCTCTGATTTGAAGACTGCAAGTTATTCAATAGTAATTTGGTTCGACTTAATAATTAACTATGTTTGATAATTGTGTTCATAAATTTGAGTAGGCTTTCTAAAGGCCGAATTGTGTATGATTATTTATTTATTGCAAGTATTTTGTATTGATTTGTTTTTACGTTTGTATTAAGATAACCGAGTCAACTGTATACTTCGAGTTGTGTGATTTTCTGGATTGAGGATACAAACTTGGGGCTTGAAAGACCGCGTTATTGAACTGTTAATAAATATCTAGTGTGCAGTCGGTGTCGTTCAGGTCACAAAGAACGGCTGTTACATGCATGTCCAGTATAGCGGTCATATTTGGATGATTCGTACAATAAGTGCTTTTCAAGTATTCATTTATGTGGAAGTCGTTGCGTAGCCGATTTCCCCATCACATTGAAGAGAACTGCTTTGACTCTCGCTCCAGACCAGGGGTGGCCAACCTTTCACATACCATGCGCCACGTTTTAAACATAATGTTTCAGATGCGCCGTAAATCTCTTGTATTCCCACGCCTAATGTCTGCTTCTTGTTGAAATTATATAAATTTATAATACACACACAAGTCACACATATATACACACGTATATGTAGTTTTTACAATTTACAACTTCACATGAATAGAAATTAAGCAAGGAAGTATAATAAATAAAACTGATCAATTTTATTTAAGTACCGCCTTTATGAGACTTTTGCTGCTGTTTTACTTTTGCAAGTTTTTTTATTCTTGGAGTTAAGTTTGTTACTGAGAGGAGCAGTGCATTCTTCAAATTTAAATCTGTAAGTCTTGACCTCGCTTTGCTTTTAATTAGTTTCATGGCAGAAAATGTTTGTTCACATCTATATGTCGTTCCGAAACGAAATATAAAACCCTGGGCAAATTTTCTCAGTTCTTTAGTATCAATATCTACTCTACCCTCGATTCTAATTGGCCTTTGCTAATCAGCTGTTTGGCCTAGCGTCGAGTGATTTTACTCCAGGCTTCTTCGAGATTAGTACTTGCGTCACAGCAAGCGATTTTACGCTTCGCTTTTGTTGACAACGGTCATTTGAAGTTTTAATTGTTGTTTTAATTGGGTGCAAATTATACTAATTCGACAATAAAATTAATATACGAAAATTCCGTTTGGCATTGGAATTTATTTGGCAAAAAAAAAAAAAAAAAAGGTCATTTGAAGTTTGGATGAAAAAGCTGGTATTTAGGGGTCATTTTCAGCATGTTGTGGGTTGATTTATAATAAATTTTTTAGGCTTGTGCAATTCAACTGGTTGTTCAATGGTTATTGGGAGATATTTGGGAAGTCTTGGCAATGGAAAATCCATGTTTCAAGCTGATAAATGACGATTTTCTATTTTTCCAAAAGTTCTAAACTTTTTACTTCAGTAGGGAAAAAATAGTAAATTTACTAATTTTTGCTAAAAGTCTAGAATGAATGTCATAAAGTCCGTCCAAAAGCTAACGTCGATAATCGCCTGTTGTTTCTAATTCCAACAAGCCGTAAGTGGGCGACGTGGAGTAAGGAGAATAGATTTTAGGTACAATCAAAAGTCCCCATGTAAATCGCAAAAAAACGGCTTGGCGTGGAGAAGCCAAGTGCAATTAACAATTTTGGCATGAAAAGGGTTAAAGATGCAATGCGCCACCTCTAATCATGCAATGCGCCACGTTTGGCGCATGCGCCATAGGTTGGCCACCCCTGCTCCAGACCTTTGACCCCCGAAATATTTTTTCTATACTTTACCATTGCAAAATTTTTGGGGCTATTTCGGAGCTCTTTTGCGAGTTGGCGCCTGTGAAATGGGGTATGTGTTTCAGACCATCATTATGATTCATCGCATACAACAATCTGTTTTTTTGAAAGTACCGATAAAGAATTTTAGCCTAGTCTATCACAGCTATTTCTACACTAATTGTTATTACTGCAATTAAATTAAAACTCCTAGGAAGACAGGGTGACCATTGGATTATCTGATTTACATTTAAGTTTCCGAAACACAACTCAAAACTAACGAATAGAGTTCAAAAATGCGAAAACGAGGTAATGTTTACGACCACGCTTAAAAATCTGTCTGAGTGAGAAAATTGTCTGAGCGGATGCGAAAAGGGAGCATTGTTACGTCACTTTTTGTAATTTGCTGATTGGCCAATGTCACGAAGTAAACAAGGAAGTCGATGCTCGGGGAAAGGTCCATTGTTATTACTAGCGCGCAATTGCCTCAGTCCTTCGCTTATTCGTGGTCGCCGGTAATTTCCATCTTCTCTTATATTTACGAGTGAGTACGTATGGCCTTGCTTTTAGCGAATTCCCTTCTAAAAAAAAATGGTCTTAAACAGCCGACGTCGAGGCAATCGTTGAACGAAGTAGCTGTTAATCGTATGGTACCTTCGAGCGAGTGATAACCATTCATTATGTTAAGACGACAGTGGGGTAGGGAAAAAAATCTACTTTCTATCATCCTACGTTCACGATGATCATTAAACCGAAAACTACAAAATATACAAATTGGCCACGTTCGCCATAAAAGCTGATGTTAAAACCGTTTTGTTTATATCACTTATATATTACCTGTGTCGGATAGGTTTGAATAACCAAGGTCTATTTCACTTATACCTTAATTTCAATATTTTCTATCATACTTTTCCCCTATCCTCTTGTTGCATAGCAAATCAGGCTTAAACTGTGATCCCACATTATCACCATATTTCAACATTCATAAATATGAGTTTATTTCGACTCCATGTTGATAGAATAATTTATAAAAACAAATACAACTGATTAACGAATCAGGAGAGCAAACAAAAACTTGGGTAAGGTTTAAAACCTACAGAATTTAAATTAAAACGAGTTGCTTGAAGAAGCATTTTTAGTAAGTTAACTGACCTTAAGATATAAAAACCACAAACATATAATAAAATAAGAAAAATTAATTAGTAAACAAAAAATACACTATAAATTTTAAATAAAAAATATAATTGCAAAACAATTAGTAAATATATTAAGTGGGGGTGCTCCCGAAGTATGTGTACCAAGATGGCGCACAACCTGAACTGTGACCTGGCCTGTGCCAAAATGGATTATAGAATGATTCATAAGCCACAAAGATATAAAAATTAGGATAAATTAATCGGTAAACTAATAAGAAACTAAAATTTAGAATGAAAAATATAATTGCATATACAAAATGAGATATAAAAAATTCATAAACCTCATAGATATGATAAAGTAAGAAAAATTAGGATAAATTACTCAAAATATAAAATAAAACAATTAGCAAACAGAAGTGAACAGTAAAGAAAGAATAAACTCAAAGTATAATCTGAACCAGAAATGCTACAAGATGAGGATTGATTAGGTGGGTTAGACATCCTTACATTTACATAGACAGAAAATTATATTAGCACGATACGTCTGCAGATTTTCTGTCAAATCACTATAAATTCCGTTTGTTTGCTAATATAAAATACATCAGTTATCTTCATCATGTTAACATTCGGGACAACAATCGTATTTTGAATCCTCGATATTAATTATTTTAACTAAAAATGAAATTGACATACAAATAATTCTGAAAATAATAAATTCCATATTGGAACTGGAATTCAATTTGGCAAAAAAAAAAGAAGATGGCCTAGGACCGGGTTTCCCAAATTGCGGTCCGACTACACAGGGGGTTCGCAGCGATATCGAAGAGTCTGAAATATATATATTTCAACGTATATCCACTATCCAGTGTTACATAGTAACATTCGTAAACGAGATAAAGATGATCTTTGCTTTCAGCGCCTGTGAGGAAGACATCTGTCACAGAGCTACATGGTCAGTCGGTACATGGTCATGGTTTATAATTGACTGTATGCGTTATTGAGTTATCACCAATCGGGAACTTGTGTGACTTTGCCAAGGTCATTTAACCCCCATTTCCGCAAGAAAGAGGCGTGAAACCCAGTTAATTGTGGGAGACTATCCAAGTATACACAATTAAACTATTTCAATTGGGTGACCTTACATTTGAACCCATATATATATCCGCGGGTTCAATCTATATGTGGGTGCTAAAATCCATGGGTTAGTATGGGTTCAAATAAATAAACAAAAATAAACTCCATAGGTGCAATAGTATGCAGGTGCAATTGTCGTGGGTTCAAATGTACATGGGTTGAAATGTAATGGAACCTTTCAATTGTTCAATTAGTACCGACAGTCCGGATATCGAGGTGCAAATATATCATAATTTTATCGCATCGCCGTTAGCCTACCAATATTTAACGTTAATATGCATGAATATAGACTTTCATGAGTTTATTTCGTCAAAAAATATGTAAAACTGTATAGAACCGTGGCCGTAAATTCGGGC